GAACTGTTATTCTGGCTACATTTAATCTGTTTGTTCATTTTATTAATTAAGAACTATTGCATCAGTTCAAACTGTGCTTTACAAAAGAAAAACAATCAAGGGAAACATAATGTTATCTTGTTAAAGGTACAACAGGATCCCTGATTTTTGCTTTATTAGGAGTCTTGGGAATGGCAGCTCTTGGCATTTTCAAGTTCGTCCTCGACAAGTAAGACGCTGTTGTATGAGTTGGTACAATTCAACTCCTAGTCTTGGTTACATTTTGGTGTTTGATGTTTACTTTCAAGTTCACCTATTTTTTATTTTTGTTTTTTTTCTTTCAGATGGTACAAACAGACCTCTTGATCTAGTCCGGCTTCTTAGTTAAAAATAAAGCATTACAACCCACTTCAACCCTGTCAGTGTTAGAAAAACATAATGCATTCACCAATTGTGAAACAAGCAATAAACATTACATTGAGTCAAAATGCAATAATGAAAATCAATAATACAAGTCAATTATGTTGAATCCATCCACTGCTATTCAAAGGAAACACTAATCAGGTGATTTTTTATTTTATTTTAAGCAGTTCTGTGTGTCAGCTGTTTTGTAGTATTGTGGAAGTTTGTTCTAGTTTTGTGATGATTAGAAGCTGATACTTCCTATCTGTGTTTGTTTCTGGAGATGCAAACCAGACTAGCTGAAAAACCTGAGCAGTGTCGAAAGCTGAAGCAACAACATCTGGGTTTTGGTGTATTTTGGAGCTGTGTTGTTGAGTGATCTATAAACTGACAAATATTTTTAAAGTCCACTCTCTGAACTACAGGGAGCGAGAGTTAGGACTTTAGAAACTGGTTGATTTGTTCTAGTTTTCTGGTTTTAGTGAGAATGCAAGCAGCAGTGTTCTTGACCGGCTGCAGCTGGGATTTGATATATATTTTTGACATTAGTCCTAAAAACCTGGTAATGTTCTTCAGGTGATAGGAAGCCAACTTTGTAATTGTCTCTATGTGTCTCTAAAGGTTCAGGTCGGAGCCCATCACTACACCCAGATTTCGGGGCCTGATCACTAGTTTTTTTAGTTGTAATAATTGTGTTTTCACTTTGCTTTAGCCTAAGGATGTCCTACATAAAGGAGTTCCCCCCAGTGTATCATAGGCCTCGCAGCAGGACATGCTTTCCTAGCACTGCCTGGCCTTCTCCACGCTGGGCGAAGTGTTGCTTGTTTTTGATTTTAGCTCAATAATTACAAAAAAAGTGTAACTTTCTTTTTTTAATGCCGGACTGCAGTCGTCTCCGTTGCTCTGAGCGTTTCACTTGTGGAGCGGATTTATTCATAAAAGGTTTATAGCTGATGAATTTAAAGCCGGGAGAGCTGACCAATCACACACTGGCTTTGTACGATGCCACTACTTGATCGCTGAAGTTTACTTTATAGCAGATTGGACGCGCCTCCTTTCACTCAAACTGGACACAGGCTGACCTGCACCAACCCCCTGGGAGGAATTATGTTTCTTTGGAGAACTTTATATGAAGGTAGGAGTTTAAAGCTCAAGGCAGGAATAACTTGTAGTGGGGCTTTCAGAAGTGCGTTGAAAGCACTCCTCTGAAAGCGGTGAGAATGATTTTTCTTTGTGGGTGATGGTAATCACATCAACAAACATATTCATACATAAAAACAGTTATAACATCTTTTGAAAACACATGGCACATGGTAATACAAGATATTTTGAGTGGGAGATGCATCCCACCTGAGAGTGTGTCTAACAAACACCTAAATCTAAACATTTGTATTTAGGTCTACAAATATTCTCCATAAGAATGTTCAATACACTCCAGCCTCATGACACGAGGAAGTCTGGAGTCAAACCCCCAGTGGCCCCCAAACACGAAGCCCCAGTAGTGACCCAATAGTGTGTCTCTCATCTCCAACAACAACGAATCCCTTCATAATCTCTAATTCTCCCTCCTTCTCTGGTGCTGAATCTGCTCCAGTGGTTGAAGTTTGTGTGGTTAACATATCAGCCTGGTTGACAAATGTTTTGTGTCAACTTTGGTGTCCTTTAGTGTTTGCTCTCACAGTTCTTCTGGACCCGCTCCACCACGTATCCCCCCTGATCTACTGAAGTGACAAAATTTATATACTCAAATGAGAATGGAGGGGTGGGTCAAGGAGGACAGAGATTTCAGCCCAATGTCCTTCAAGAAAATCAACCAGTGTTGAACATGTGTAGGTCAATACTGACACTGTCCATTCATGTCTGGACATATTTCTGAATATCAACAGAAAAGCACATCATGTGGAGTTATTTGATCTAAATCATCTTTGAAGAATGACACTAACATTAAAATTAAACAGTGACTTCCTCTTTCATGTTGACAGACTCCACTTGTTAATCAGTAACGAGGTTGTATTTCAAAATAATAGTTGTGAAATTTGGCTAAATTATTTGATGCATTTGTAGCATATTTGAAAAGACAACCTAAATTGTTATTCAGTATAAATGGCTTTTAACAAAGATAATAGGTCAGTTTCCTTTCTCTTTTTCTTTCAGAAGAATAGGTACTACTCAAGAAAGAGCAGTTAGGCTAGAGTTTTGCAGCTGCGAGTGTTTTGTATTTACATTGTGAATATCATATATACATATTTAGAACCACACATTGGGATGTGCAACATAGCCATGGATGAAAGGAAGAAAAAAGCAATTAAATAAAAAAAAAGAAAAATACAAGGAAAAAAAACAACAAACGACAAAAAACTAATTAATTAATCGATCCCAAAGTTCATCTCACGCCCCCCTTAGTCCATTCACCCGAATGGGGATTAATCAGGCTCATCAACAAGGCCAGTATCCCGGACTTGGTTCACGTCCTGGGTAAATGAAAGTCCAATCAAAGAAGGAACAGAGTTCTTTGCAGGATTCTCCTACCAGCTGGGTAGGAGAAGTAAGCAGTCTTCTGTCACCAACAGGTGAAATCTTTCCTTGGCTCTAGGCCTGGTCTCTTAGCTCACCATCCACCTGGCCTGAATAACAAAACAGGACCACTTCCTCAATATAATTTATGATCTAACATTCTTAGTGTATACACAATTCAATAAATAACACTTCGTATTATAAATAATTCTATCATAATCAATTGCAATAAATCTAAAATTCAATATAAATTACATTCATGAAACATTCAATAAATATACACCATATTATCAATTAACATGAAATGTAAATTACTATAAAACCAGTGCTCAATAAATACTTCAATTACCCGTTTTGGTTATCAAAAGGAGTGTACAATCAGTTTTTCTTTAGTGGCTACACAACAGCAGTGATTATAAGCCAACGCTAAGTCATTCACAAAAACACTCACCAGTTCCGCAGTTTTGTGTCATACTACCGGATCTTTTTCATCTCCCTTTCCGGCTCACAATAATGGGCTCCTATAGTTCAGCACATTAAGTGAGCATCGTACACATTTACAGAAATTAAATGATACTACGCTTTAACTGACCTGCCAGCTCTGCACCTTCCAAGGCGTTCTACCCTTCACGCCCTTTCGCTTGAGCTAATATACCTAGCCGGTAAACTGGGAAGGTACTTGTGTCCCCACTAATCAGCCGCGATTGGCTAAATAATAATCTCGCGAGAATCACTCATAATGCTATTAAAACATCGCGAGATTTAAGGCTAAAAGACAAAAGAGTAGAAAATCAGAACTTTACACTCGGGTTACATATTCTTCAAAATAATCTTTATTAATATAAAGTCTTTTTCTCCTGACATTTATTGCTATATAAGTTCTGTTGCTCTTGACAGCCAGTAGTTACCGTAGCAACTAGTAACAGTAGGCTCGTCCCCTTTTGCCATCTTTAACTCTGGTATGTATTAAGATCAGCTCTGTGCTTTCTTTACAGTACTATATTTTAACATGTATGTTAGACTAATTTAATATTATGCAGTGTTTAATGTTTTGTAATGATTTGTATATATTTTTGCTGTTTCATAATTAATATTTCACATTTAAGCTATCTCTGAGTTTACAACTGTTAACTGATGTCAACTGTTTATTAGGAACAATTGCTCTGTAGTTTGTTTGGGGTTATTTATTGTATTTTTATTTAATGTATAGGGCCTGGACTGATGTTAACACCAGCTTGATCTTCTCTCTTGTTATTTCTGCTTCAACTTTTGATAAAAGGTAACATGTCAGTTCTCAGTCGTGTGTTAGTTTTTAATATAAAGTGTGTGTAATCTCCATCTAGTAAAATTACATATCTTCATTTATAGAGAAGAAAAGATTAGCTATGTAGATGTTTAATGTAAATTTATTTTAAATACCACTACACTATGACAGTCAGCCTGTGCCTTTTTACTGTCCTTAACTTTGTGGCACAAACTGCTGGTCTGATGTCTGACTTTTACATATGATAAACATTCAACCAGCTTGAATGTGTGTTGTGAAGTCAACCTACGACGAACAGAGAAAGGTTACATATCCATCACATTTACTCTGAATCATAGAAAGTGGTGGTCTGACCTGCTGTTGATCCACTAAAATCCATTCAGTTTTTAATCTAAACTGGTTCTGATTTAGCTGCAGGTTTCTTTTGGTAAGTTTGTGTTGATTTGATTTATCGTTATGTAGGTTTCCTGACTTTTACTACATTGCAGAATCATTTTAATGCTATAAAATAATCAAGATATATTTTTCAAAATGTTTAAATTCTGCGTTTTAATCATTTGAGTTCTGATTTGATCAAGAGACAGCTTTAAAAATATTAATCTCATCATCAGCTTGTTCCAGTCAGAGAGATGAAGAAGCTCTGTCACCTGTATAACAACATCCTGATAGTCAGCATTTTACTGATTGTCTTCGGTCCTCCAGGTGAGTTTGTTTGTTTAGTCCCTTTTATTTGGAGACGTCACATAAATCACTTATAGTCTGAAATATGTGATTCTGATATGGTTCAAATGATTCACACCTAACATGAAGCTGAATCGTAGTTCAGTTTCATATCAGATAGTCGATGTAACAGGATGATTTTTCTTCATGTTATTTTCATCATTCATCTGTTTTACAGGTGCTGTGGCTCATTGTAGTCATTTTACAGGCATGCATGTGCATGTACCACCTGAGATACTAGCTCTGTCTGGATCTTGTGTGGACATCCGATGTAGATTTGATACTGTGCCAGAATTTAACAGCACAAAGACCACTTATGGAATCTGGATGAAATATACTAAGAAATATAAAAATGTTGAAGAATCTCAAATTTATTATAACAGCAGCGGATCAATGAACACCCATAAAATGGAAATCATTGGAGAGCTGTGGAGGAAAAACTGCACAACTCGGATTTTTGATGTAACACCATTTCATACAGACTTGTACATGTTCAGAATTGAGAACGAGGGAATGAACGCAACATATTGTGAAGATTTTTTTATGTTAAGAGTTGTAGGTAAGAGAGCTTTTCTGTCTTTTCTATGTAACATACACTCACCAGCCACTTTATTAGGTACGCCTTGCTAGTTCTGTCTTGGGAACCCTTTTGCCTTCAGAACTGCCTTTATCCATGGTAGCATAGATTCAACAAGGTACTGGAAACATTCCTCAGAGAGTGTGGTCCATGTTGACATTGTAGCATCATGCAGTTGCTGTAGATTTGTCGGCTGCACATCTATAATGTGAATCTCCCGTTCCACCACATCTCAAAGGTGATCTATTGGACTGAGATCTGACTGTGGAGGCCATTTGAGTACCGTGCACTGATTGTTGTGTTCAGGAAACCAGTGTGACATGACTCGCGCTTTATGACATGCTGCATTATCCTGCTGGAAGTAGCCATCAGAAAATGTGTACACTGTGGTCATAAAGTTTGCTGTTGTTAGCTGACAGCAGAGGCACACGGTGTGGTTTTCTTCTGCTGTATCGCAGCCGCCTCCAGGTTCGATGTGCGTTCAGATATACTCTTCTTTAAACCTCTATTGTAACAAAGGGTTCTTTGAGTCACTGTTGCCATTCTATCAACTTGAACCAGTCTGTCCATTCTCCTCTGACCTCTGGCACCAACAACCATGCCACGTTCGATGTCACGTAAATCACCTATGTTCCCCATTCTGATATTCGCTTGGAACTGCGGCAGATCATCTTGGCCATGTCTACATGCCTACAAGCATTGAGTTGCTTCCATGTGATTATTAGTTGACCTCATCAGTGTCACTTAATCATTTGAGGCGCCATGACGGTCGTTTGAAGTGAACTTGTTTTCCCAAGTTGCTTTTTCCAGTTTATTCATGGCTTCTTCTTGTTCCAGTCAAGCTAATTTGACTGTAATCGTAACACATCTTCCTCCTTGTACTGGAGCAGCCTTAAAAACGAACAAAAGAGTTTTTAACCACACATGTTAGGCTACAGGACTGTGCAGCACTGTCTCCATGGTTACTGACGGTTAAACGCGTACCTTCTCCATAATGCGATTTTTGACATATTTCTAATCATACTTACTTATAAAGAGCATTGTAAACCTTTACCTTGTAAAAAGTGTTCACTGCAAATCCACAGTTACACTGAGGGATGACAGTCATTATGATTGACGGCTGCTGTCCAGCACCGCCGTATCTTTCCTCACTACAAGTTATAAGATAAAGCAGCAAGTTTGCTTTGCTTCCTTGCCTGTTTGTGCAGCTGACCATTTTTAAAGTGAAATCAACCAAATAGAAGGATATAAGGTTATAGATGTCTATTTTCATCTGGCTTTAAAGGAGCACATTGGTTGTTTTGACTTCTGCCATGGCGGAGTTTGCATCAGTCTGTCTCAAGTAAAGGGTCAATAAAGGAAATGTTTCATGGAATTAAAAGCTTGTTGATGAGTAAAATGGTGTTGTAGTTGTAGGTATAATGTCCAAGAAATTAATACTGTATTTTGTGTTGTGTTTCACTTTATGACATGTCTGGTTTGAAACCACAGATTCTCCTTGGAATCACACCCTTGATGTTTATGGAAGTAATCTGAAGGAGCATCAGTCTGTAACTGTATCCTGCTCAGCTTTTACTCCCTGTGTACACTCACCTCCTGAACTCACCTGGAATCTCAAAAGAGACTCTATCAGACAAATATTGACTAACACAGACGGAAACATTACAACTAAAATCCAGGAGAACATCACTCTGACATACAGACACGATGGATACAAAATCAACTGTTCTGCAAGATATCCTGTGACTGGAGGATTCAAACAGTCACCAGAGTCAGTAAAGACTCTCAGTGTTTCACGTAAGTGATCATGTCAGCACAGCATAATTCATGTTTATTCCATTTACTTTATCAATTTGCAATAAAACAGGTTGTGATATTTGAAAAATTGTGTGAGTTCAATGCCTTTGTTTAGATGCAAATATTCTTTGTTTCAGAAGAAAACATATCATTTTGGGTTATTAAAAGAAATATTACAGGTCAATTAATGATATTCATTCCAACTATACTTCAGGCATGTTTATTTCATGCCTTTTAATTACCATGAATATTTCATGGTAATTAAAAAGTACATCAATTAAGGATCTTTTGGAGATTATGACTCATGATTTTGAGAAGTTTTAAAATAAACTGAAGACAAAACAAGTTCAAAAATATTTCAGGTTTTAAAGAACTGCAGCAGCCTTAACATCTTACCTTACATGATATTGATGTTGATTAAAAGCTTGTTGAATGTTCTTTCAAATAAAATTTTTAGTAACATACCCATATAAACTAAATATGTGTCTAATTTTCCTCAGATTCTCCTAAAGAAACCAGGGCATCCATCAGTCCGTCAGGTTTGGTGTCAGTAGGTACCTTGTTGGAGCTGAGCTGCTCCAGCAGAGCCAAACCTCCGATCAGTAGATTCAGCTGGTTCAAGAACAGCAAAGATGGAGTCACTAAAGTATCTGAGGTTCAGGTTCACCGCTTCACTGCCACTCCTACTGATGAAGGAGACTATTACTGTGAGGTCACAAATAGTCTGGGTAGTGAGACATCGAGAAGTGTCTGTGTTGACATCTTTGGTAATGCATGTTTTTTTATTGATACATTTTCACACATATTAATACATATATATGTGTATATATATATATATATATATATATATATATATATATATATATATATATGAATCTATATATACATATAGGGTTAGGGTTATATATATATATTTTTTTATATATATATACACTGCCAGGTGTGTCCCACCTGCCGACAGGTTCTGGCCCCAAAGGACTTCAACTCCCAGAAGACCCTGCACATCAGCGAAAGCGAGGAGCTCCCCTCCTTGCAGTCCATCAGCCGCATCATCAGCTAGCCCCGCTCCCCCCCCCTGTCAGTTTATGTCCGTTTGCCGTTGCCGGGCAACATTTCAGCTGCCATGCTGTGAAGGCGATGCATCAGAGGAAGCCTGAGGACTTCCTCTGATGCACATTATATAGATGGGTCGGTCCAGACGGTTTTCCACTTGGATCCGCTTCCTTTGAGGATGTCTCCAACCGGCACTCACTGAGAGTGTCTCTAATCAGAACTGTGACGATGATGATGATAATAATAATAATAATGATAATAATAATAATAATAATAATAATAATAATAATAATAATGGAGGAACTGGGTTCCTGTCTAAGAAAGAAATTCAAATAATTGACTTTATATATATATAAAGGCTAAAGGTGATCCAATGAAATATTAGAGTCTGTGACCTTTTTCTTGATGGTGATTTGTTTTCGGCCAGGCAGTGTATATATTTATATGAACAAAAACATAAACGAAGCCCTTTTGTTTTTGCTCCCATTTGTTTATGAGCTGAACTCAAAGATCTAAAATAATTTCTCTGTAACCTAATATTGTTCACTAGTCTGTCTAAATCTGACAGTGAGGACTGTTCCTGTCAAAAAGTTTATCCAACCCATCTCTCAAGCACATCAACATACTGGTGATGATGACTACACAGGTGTGCCTGGTAAAAGACCAGTTTGAAATGTGCTGTTTGCTTAATTGGTGGGTCTGAAAACCAGTCAGTATCTGGAGTGACCCATTGCACCAATGGGCAGTAATCATTCTGTCTTATCAGGATCTCGAGATGCCACACCTGCAAGGCGGCAGGGATTATTTATGAAAAGGTAAAATGCTCACTATCACAGATTTACACAGATTAGTGAACAATATTTGAGAGAAATAGTTATACAGAAAATGTTTCAGTTTTTTTCTGTTTGGCTCATGAAAAAGGTGAACAAAAACAAATGTTGTGTTTGTATTATAGTTCTTTGTATATATTTATATATGTATATGTATGTATGTGCAATGCATTTATTATACAGACAACATTCATGTTTTCAACATGTGAACATCTGTGACACACGCATTGGACAATAATTTAATTGGTAAAATATGTGTCTGATGTGAAATTTCAGATGCTCCTTTTATTCCGAGCATTAATATCCCTGTTGGTGAATTGAAGGAGGATCAGTCTATCACTATAACCTGCTCAGTTTCAACTCCCTGTCCACAATCACAACCTGGACTCACCTGGAATCTCAAACAAGACTCTCTCAGACAAACAGAGAAAAACACAGAGGGAACATTCACAACTAAAATTCAGGAGACCATCACTCTGTCCGACAAACATGATGGATACATCATCAGCTGTTCTGCCAGACATCCTGGAGATAAAAAAGGCAAGACAGCAAAGACAGAAGTGACTCTCACTGTTTCATGTAAGTGATCTTGTCATTAGGCCATGGTTCAACTGTTTCTGATAAATTAGGTTCATGCATGTCCCGTTTCCATCAGATGCTCCTAAAAACACCTCAGCATCCATCAGCCCATCGAGTTTGTTGTCAGAAGGTAACTGGGTGGAGCTGATCTGCTCCAGCAGAGCCAATCCTCCATCCAGATTCAGTTGGTTCAAGAAAGGCCCCGAAAAATTCAGTAAAATATCTACAGGCATCATTCTCAGGGTTAAATTCACTGGGGGCAATGAGTACTACTGTGAAGCTGAAAATGAGCTGGGTAAACAGAGATCATCACCAATAACGTTCAGATCACAAGGTAAATTCTGTTTCCTCTTTTCTTTTCCGATTCAAAATCCTCAAAGATATTGAGATATTAACATTTTTAAGCAAAACAAAATGTTAATTTAGGAAAGAAGCTGAAATTGTTGTTTGAAAACTTTGCCATCTCGTCAATATCCTAAGAACTGTTATTCTGGGTACATTTAATCTATTGCATCAGTTTAAACTGTGCTTTACAAACGAAAAAGAATATAATACCGTCAGTTCAGTTTTTCCTTTTCTGCAAAAGAAGTAATAAATGTAAGATAACAGTATTTAAAGCCAAGATATTTTATATGTAAGAGAAACTGAGAATGTTTTCTTGTTAAAGGAACAACAGGATCCCTGATTTATGTTTTATTAGGAGTCGTGGGAATGGCAGCTCTTGGCATTATAGGATTCGTCCTTAACAAGTAAGACGCTGTTGTATGAGTTGGTACAATTCAACTGTTGATCTCCTAGTCTTGGTTACATTTTGGTGTTTGATGTTTACTTTCAAGTTCACCTATTTTTTATTTTTGTTTTTTTTCTTTCAGATGGTACAAACAGACCTCTTGATCTAGTCCGGCTTCTTAGTTAAAAATAAAGCATTTCAACCCACTTCAACCCTGTCAGTGTTAGAGAAACATCATGCAGTCACCAATTGTGAAACAAGCAATAAACATTACATTGAGTCAAAATGCAATAATGAAAATCAATAATACAAGTCAATTATGTTGAATCCATCCACTGCTATTCAAAGGAAACTCTAATCAGGTGATTTTTTATTTTATTTTAAGCAGTTCTGTGTTTCAGCTGTTTTGTAGTATTGTGGAAGTTTGTTCTAGTTTTGTGATGATTAGAAGCTGATACTTCCTATCTGTGTTTGTTTCTGGAGATGCAAACCAGACTAGCTGAAAAAACCTGAGCAGTGTCGAAAGCTGAAGCAACAACATCTGGGTTTTGGTGTATTTTGGAGCTGTGTTGTTGAGTGATCTATAAACTGACAAATATTTTGAAAGTCCACTCTCTGAACTACAGGGAGCGAGAGTTAGGACTTTAGAAACTGGTTGATTTGTTCTAGTTTTCTGGTTTTAGTGAGAATGCAAGCAGCAGTGTTCTTGACCGGCTGCAGCTGGGATTTGATATATATTTTTTGACATTAGTCCTAAAAACCTGGTAATGTTCTTCAGGTGATAGGAAGCCAACTTTGTAATTGTCTCTATGTGTCTCTAAAGGTTCAGGTCGGAGCCCATCACTACACCCAGATTTCGGGGCCTGATCACTAGTTTTTTTAGTTGTAAAAATTGTGTTTTCACTTTGCTTTAGCCTAAGGATGTCCTACATAAAGGAGTTCCCCCCAGTGTATCATAGGCCTCGCAGCAGGACATGCTTTACTAGCACTGCCTGGCCTTCTCCACGCTGGGCGAAGTGTTGCTTGTTTTTGATTTTAGCTCAATAATTACAAAAAAAGCGTAACTTTCTTTTTTTTAATGCCGGACTGCAGTCGTCTCCGTTGCTCTGAGCGTTTCACTTGTGGAGCGGATTTATTCATAAAAGATAGGTTTATAGCTGATGAATTTAAAGCCGGGAGAGCTGACCAATCACACCACTGGCTTTGTACGATGCCACTACTTGATCGCTGAAGTTTACTTTATGGCAGATTGGACGCGCCTCCTTTCACTCAAACTGGACACAGGCTGACCTGCACCAACCCCCTGGGAGGAATTATGTTTCTTTGGAGAACTTTATATGAAGGTAGGAGTTTAAAGCTCAAGGCAGGAATAACTTGTAGTGGGGCTTTTAGAAGTGCGTTGAAAGCTCTCCTCTGAAAGCGGTGAGAATGATTTTTCTTTGTGGGTGATGGTAATCACATCAACAAACATATTCATACATAAAAACAGTTACAACATCTTTTTAAAACACATGGCACATGGTAATACAAGATATTTTGAGTGGGAGATGCATCCCACCTGAGAGTGTGTCTAACAAACACCTAAATCTAAACATTTGTGTTTAGGTCTACAAATATTCTCCATAAGAATGTTCAATACACTCCAGCCTCATGACACGAGGAAGTCTGGAGTCAAACACCCAGTGGCCTCCAAACACAAAGCCCCAGTAGTGACCCAATAGTGAGTCTCTCATCTCCAACAACAACAACGAATCCCTTCATAATCTCTAATTCTCCCTCCTTCTCTGGTGCTGAATCTGCTCCAGTGGTTGAAGTTTGTGTGGTTAACATATCAGCCCTGTTGACAAATGTTTTGTGTCAACTTTGGCGTCCTTTAGTGTTTGCTCTCACAGTTCTTCTGGACCCGCTCCACCACGTATCCCCCTGATCTACTGAAGTGACAAAATTTATATCCTCAAATGAGAATGGAGGGGTGGGTCAAGGAGGACTGAGAGATTTCAGCCCAATGTCCTTCAAGAAAATCAACCAGTGTTGAACATGTGTAGGTCAATACTGACACTGTCCATTCATGTCTGGACATATTTCTGAATATCAACAGAAAAGCATCATGTGGAGTTATTTGATCTAAATCATCTTTGAAGAATGACACTAACATTAAAATTAAACAGTGACTTCCTCTTTCATGTTGACAGACTCCACTTGTTAATCAGTAACGAGGTTGTATTTCAAAATAATAGTTGTGAAATTTGGCTAAATTATTTGATGCATTTGTAGCATATTTGAAAAGACAACCTAAATTGTTATTCAGTATAAATGGCTTTTAACAAAGATAATAGGTCAGTTTCCTTTCTCTTTTTCTTTCAGAAGAATAGGTACTACTCAAGAAAGAGCAGTTAGGCTAGAGTTTTGCAGCTGCGAGTGTTTTGTATTTACATTGTGAATATCATATATACATATTTAGAACCACACATTGGGATGTGCAACATAGCCATGGATGAAAGGAAGAAAAAAGCAATTAAATAAAAAAAAAAGAAAAATACAAGGAAAAAAACAACAAACGACAAAAAACTAATTAATTAATCGTTCCCAAAGTTCATCTCACGCCCCCCCTTAGTCCATTCACCCCGAATGGGGATTAATCAGGCTCATCAACAAGGCGAGTATCCCGGACTTGGTTGACGTCCTGGGTAAATGAAAGTCCAATCAAAGAAGGAACAGAGTTCTTTGCAGGATTCTCCTACCAGCTGGGTAGGAGAAGTAAGCAGTCTTCTGTCACCAACAGGTGAAATCTTTCCTTGGCTCTAGGCCTGGTCTCTTAGCTCACCATCCACCTGGCCTGAATAACAAAACAGGACCACTTCCTCAATATAATTTATGATCTAACATTCTTAGTGTATACACAATTCAAAAATAACACTTCGTATTATAAATAATTCTATCATAATCAATTGCAATAAATCTAAAATTCAATATAAATTACATTCATGAAACATTCAATAAATATACACCATATTATCAATTAACATGAAATGTAAATTACTAATATAAACCAGTGCTCAATAAATACTTCAATTACCCGTTTTGGTTATCAAAAGGAGTGTACAATCAGTTTTTCTTTAGTGGCTACACAACAGCAGTGATTATAAGCCAACGCTAAGTCATTCACAAAAACACTCACCAGTTCCGCAGTTTTGTGTCATACTACCGGATCTTTTTCATCTCCCTTTCCGGCTCACAATAATGGGCTCCTATAGTTCAGCACATTAAGTGAGCATCGTACACATTTACAGAAATTAAATGATACTACGCTTTAACTGACCTGCCAGCTCTGCACCTTCCAAGGCGTTCTACCCTTCACGCCCTTTCGCTTGAGCTAATATACCTAGCCGGTAAACTGGGAAGGTACTTGTGTCCCCACTACTCAGCCGCGATTGGCTAAATAATAATCTCGCGAGAATCACTCATAATGCTATTAAAACATCGCGAGATTTAAGGCTAAAAGACAAAAGAGTAGAAAATCGGAACTTTACACTCGGGTTACATATTCTTCAAAATAATCTTTATTAATATAAAGTCTTTTTCTCCTGACATTTATTGCTATATAAGTTCTGTTGCTCTTGACAGCCAGTAGTTACCGTAGCAACTAGTAACAGTAGGCTCGTCCCCTTTTGCCATCTTTAACTCTGGTATGTATTAAGATCAGCTCTGTGCTTTCTTTACAGTACTATATTTTAACATGTATGTTAGACTAATTTAATATTATGCAGTGTTTAATGTTTTGTAATGATTTGTATATATTTTCGCTGTTTCATAATTAATATTTCACATTTAAGCTATCTCTGAGTTTACAACTGTTAACTGATGTCAACTGTTTATTAGGAACAATTGCTCTGTAGTTTGTTTGGGGTTATTTATTGTATTTTTATTTAATGTATAGGGCCTGGACTGATGTTAACACCAGCTTGATCTTCTCTCTTGTTATCTCTGCTTCAACTTTTGATAAAAGGTAACATGTCAGTTCTCAGTCGTGTGTTAGTTTTTAATATAAAGTGTGTGTAATCTCCATCTAGTAAAATTACATATCTTCATTTATAGAGAAGAAAAGATTAGCTATGTAGATGTTTAATGTAAATTTATTTTAAATACCACTACACTATGACAGTCAGCCTGTGCCTTTTTACTGTCCTTAACTTTGTGGCACAAACTGCTGGTCTGATGTCTGACTTTTACATATGATAAACATTCAACCAGCTTGAATGTTTGTTGTGAAGTCAACCTACGACGAACAGAGAAAGGTTACATATCCATCACATTTACTTTGAATCATAGAAAGTGGTGGTCTGACCTGCTGTTGATCCACTAAAATCCATTCAGTTTTTTATCTAAACTGGTTCTGATTTAGCTGCAGGTTTCTTTTGGTAAGTTTGTGTTGATTTGATTTATCGTTATGTATGTTTCCTGACTTTTATTATATTACAGAATCATTTTAATGCTATGAAATAATCATGACATATTTTTCAAAATGTTTAATTGCTGCCTTTTAATCAACTGAGTTCTGATTTGATCAAGAGACAGCTTTAAAAATATTAATCTCATCATCAGCTTGTTCCAGTCAGAGAGATGAAGAAGCTCTGTCACCTGTATAACAACATCCTGATAGTCGGCATTTTACTGATTGTCTTCGTTCCTCCAGGTGAGTTTGTTTGTTTAGTCCCTTTTATTTGGAGACGTCACATAAATCACTTATAGTCTGAAATATTTGATTCTGATATGGTTGAAAGTATTCACACGTAACATGAAGCTTCATGTTCGATGGTCAATGTAACAGGATGATATCTCTCCACTTTATTTTTTTTTTATTCTTCTATTTTACAGGTGCTGTGGCTCATTGTCGTAATGTTCAAGACCTCCACGTTTATTTACCAGCTGAGGAGGTCGAAGCTCTGGTGGGATCTTGTTTCGACATTCCGTGTAGATATGATCCTTTGCCACTATTTGACAGCACAAAACCCATTTACGGAATCTGGATGAAACATGTTAAGGATTATCTTTATCTGGAAGATTCTCAAGTTTATTATAACAGCAGCGGGACAGTTAACTCTCATCAAATGCAATTGACGGGAGATTTGAGGAGGCACAACTGCACCACTCGGATTTCTAATTTAACACCACGTCATGCAGACTCGTACATGTTAAGAATTGAGAACGTGGACGCGAGAGCAACATTTTGTGACGATTTTCTGACTTTAAAAGTTGTAGGTAAGAGAAGTATTTTCTTATTACAATGAAATACACACTCAGCAGATGTTGAAACCACCACCATCTTTGGTTTCGACATCTGGTTTGAAACTACAGATTCTCCACGGCCTCCCATCATTGTGGTTTCTGGACAAAAGCTGAAGGAGCGTCAGTCTGTCACTGTATCCTGCTCAGCTAATACCCCCTGTTTACAGTCACCTCCTGAACTAACCTGGAATATCAGCCAACACTCCACCAGAATATTACAGCAAAAAAAGGATGACATATTTATGACTACAATCCAGAAAACTATCACTCTGACACACCACCATGATGGATACATTATCAGCTGCTCTGCCAGATATCCTGTGAAAGGAGAATTCAAACAGTCACCAGAGTCAGTAAAGACTCTCAGTGTTTCATGTAAGTGATCATATCAGCACAGTATAATTCATGTTTATTCCATTTATTTGATCAATTTACAATTTAACAGGTTGTGATATTTGAAAAATTGTGTCAGTTCAATGCCTTTGTTTCCATCCAAATATTCTTTAAGTTGAAAACGTATCATTTTGAGATTGTGAGTGACAACTTTTCACAAGTTTTAATATAATCTGAAGGGGAAACAAGCAATAAAATGTTTCAGGTTTCAAAGCACTGCAGTAGCCTTAATGTCTACCTTACATGATATTGTCGTTGATTAAATGTTCTTTCAAAGAAAATTTTTAGTAAAACACCCAAATATAGTAAATATGTGTCTCATTTTCCTCAGATTCTCCTAAAGGAACTGACGCATCCATCGATCCGGCATCTGTGGTGTCAGAAGGTACCTGGGTGACGCTAATGTGCACCAGCAAAGCCAACCCTCCGATCAGGAGATTCAGCTGGTTCAAGAAGAGCAGAAAAGGACCCATTAAAGTATCTGAAAATCCAACTTACAGCTTTACTGCCACTCCTACTGCAGAAGGAAACTATTTCTGTGAGGCCACAAATGCGATTGGTAGGGAGAGATCGCGTGTCATCGTTCTTGACCTCATTGGTAATGCTACTTGTTTTGCTTTTGGGATCATTTCATTTATCATTTCATTATATTTTTATATATAATGATATATATATATATATGTATGTATATATATATATATATATATTTCATGTATATATATATATATATATATATATGTATGTGTATATATATATATTTCATATATATATATATTTCATATATATATATATATATTTCATATATATATATATATATATATATTTCATATATATATATATATATATATATTTCATATATATATATGTACTGCAAAAATTTAAGAAAATTATTAAGATGATCAGTTTCTGATTTTATTTTTTTATTGGTATATGTTTAAGTAAAATTATCATTGTTCTTTTATTTGATGAAGCACTGAAAATATCTTGTATGTGCAGAGAATTTTAGTGCTTTTAGATCTCATATAGTGCAAAGAAAACATATTAACTTAGAAAGAATAATGCTGATGGTTTAACTCAAGAAGAGTTCAGAAATCAATATTTAGTGGAATAACCATGAGTTTTTCAATGGGGCTCAGTATAGTGGTATCTTAATCTTCTCCATAGCTGTTTTTGGAACTGGAGTTATAAATATCAGCATCTCAAAAATAAAATGTGTGTGTTATATTGTGTGTGTATACATTAAATGGCCACCAAAATAGAGTGTCTATCTTGATCTAACCAAGCAAATAGGTATAGCCCTCCGATTGGATAATCATTCTTGAGTTAAATATTGATATTGATGTTGAGTAAAAGCTTTTTGAATGCACTTTAAAATAAAATTTTTAGTAACAAAGCCATATGAAGTAAATATGTCATGTCACTTTCCTCAGAGGCTCCTAAAAACACCAAGGCATACATAAATCAAGCAGGTCTGCTGACAACAGGTACCTGGGTTGAGCTAACTTGCGAAACCGAAGCCACTACTCAGGTCAACTTCACCTGGTTCAGGAACAACAAAGATGGAACCACGAAGCTAACTACTGATCAGTTTCACTCCTTCAGTGCTTCTCCTGCTAATGAAGGAGACTATTACTGTGAGGCCAGTAATAAGCGTGGTAGTGACACATCGAGAAGATTCTGTATTGACACCAGGGGTAATGCATATTGTTCTATATATACATTTACACACACACACACACACACACACACACACACACACACACACACACGCACACACCCACACACAAACATACATACATACATACATACATATATATATATATATATATATATATATATATATATATATATATATATATATATTATATATATATATATATATATATATATATACACATACATACATACATATATATATATATATATATATATATATATATATATATATATATATATATATATATATATATATATATATATATATATACATATATATATATATATATATATATGAGAGGCAGATGATGTGATTACCCATCATGCTTTGTGTCTCCTATCAAACCTGTGGAGATAATGCTGCAATGTGAGGTTGATGCAGGTGATCATGTCTGGGTTCGGCAATATCAGCTCAAAGGATGAGGTCAGCTGACTACCTGAATATACTGACCAGGTCATTCAACGGGTTTTTTTCCTTCCCTCACTCATGAGCATATTCAGAAATGACATTGCCAGGATTCATGGGGTTTGACTTGTGAGAGACTGGTTCAGGGAGCATGAGGCATCATTTTCTCTCATGGATTGTCCACCACAGAGTCTAGACCTTAACCCCACTGAGAATCTTTGGGATGTGCTGGAGAAGACCTCGTGCAGTGTTCAGAGTCTACAGTAATCAAAATCCAAGATCCTGGTGAAAAATTAGTGCAACACTGGATGGAAATAAATCGTGTGTGTTTTGATAAGCATTGCAGAAACTTATCAAAACAATGCCAATGATGAGTCTTGATGAAATCAAAGCTAAAGGTGATCCAATGAAATATTAGAGTCTGTGACCTTTTTCTTGATGGTGATTTGTTTTCGGCCAGGCAGTGTATATATTTATATGAACAAAAATATAAACGAAGCCCTTTTGTTTTTGCTCCCATTTGTTTATGAGCTGAACTCAAAGATCTAAAATAATTTCTCTGTAACCGAATATTGTTCACTAGTCTGTCTAAATCTGTGACAGTGAGGACTGTTCCTGTCAAAAAGTTTATCCAACCCATCTCTCAAGCACATCAACATACTGGTGATGATGACTACACAGGTGTGCCTGGTAAAAGACCAGTTTGAAATGTGCTGTTTGCTTAATTGGTGGGTCTGAAAACCCACCAATATCTCCAGTATCTGGAGTGACCCATTGCACCAATGGGCAGTAATCATTCTGTCTTATCAGGATCTCGAGATGCCACACCTGCAAGGCGGCAGGGATTATTTATGAAAAGGTAAAATGCTCACTATCACAGATTTACACAGATTAGTGAACAATATTTGAGAGAAATAGTTATACAGAAAATGTTTCAGTTTTTTTCTGTTTGGCTCATGAAAAAGGTGAACAAAAACAAATGTTGTGTTTGTATTATAGTTCTTTGTATATATTTATATATGTATATGTATGTATGTGCAATGCATTTATTATACAGACAACATTCATGTTTTCAGCATGTGAACATCTGTGACACACGCATTGGACAATAATTTAATTGGTAAAATATGTGTCTGATGTGAAATTTCAGATGCTCCTTTTATTCCGAGCATTAATATCCCTGTTGGTGAATGGAAGGAGGATCAGTCTGTCACTATAACCTGCTCAGTTTCAACTCCCTGTCCACAATCACAACCTGGACTCACCTGGAATCTCAAACAAGACTCTCTCAGACAAACAGAGAAAAACACAGAGGGAAGATTCACAACTAAAATTCAGGAGACCATCACTCTGTCTGACAAACATGATGGATACATCATCAGCTGTTCCACCAGACATCCTGCAGATTTAGAAGACAAGACAGCAGAGAAAGACGAGACTCTCAGAGTTTTATGTAAGTGGTCCTGTCATTAGGCCATGGTTCAGCGGTTTCTGATAAATTAGGTTCATGCATGTCCCGTTTCCATCAGATGCTCCTAAAGCCACCTCAGCATCCATCAGCCCATCGAGTTTGTTGTCAGAAGGTAACTGGGTGGAGCTGATCTGCTCCACCAGAGCCAATCCTCCCCCCAAAATCACCTGGTTCAAGAAAGGCTCCAAGATGTTCAGTAAAATATCTACAGGCATCATTATCAAGGTTAAATTTACTGAGGGCAATGAGTACTACTGTGAAGCTGAAAATGAGCTGGGTAAACAGAGATCATCACCAATAACGCTCAGAGTAAAAAGTAAGTTATGTTTCCTCTTTTCTTTTCCATTTCAAAATCCTCAAAGATATTGAGATATTAACATTTTTAAGCATAATAAAATGTTAATTTAGGAAAGAAGCTGAAATTATCGTTTGAAAACTTTGCCATCTCGTCAATATCCTAAGAACTGTTATTCTGGCTACATTTCATCTGTTTGTTCATTTTATTAATGAAGAACTATTGCATCGGTTTAAACTGTGCTTTATAAAAGAAAAACAATATAATACCGCCAGTTCAGATTTTTCTGTTCAATAACAGTATTTAAAGCCAAGATATTTTATATGTAAGAGAAACTGAGCATGTTTTTTTGTTAAAGGTACAGCGGGAGTCCTGATTTATGCTTTATTAGGAGTCTTGGGATTGGCAGCTCTTGGCATTATGGGGTTTCTCCTTGACAAGTAAGACGCTGTTGTATGAGTTGGTACAATTCAACTGTTGATCTCCTAGTCTTGGTTACATTTTGGTGTTTGATGTTTACTTTCAAGTTCACCTGTTTTTTTGTTTTTTTCTTTCAGATGGTACAAACAGACCTCTTGATCTAGTCCGGCTTCTTAGTTAAAAATAAAGCATTACAACCCACTTCAACCCTGTCAGTGTTAGAGAAACATCATGCAGTCACCAATTGTGAAGCAAACAATAAACATTACATTGAGTCAAAATGCAATAATGAAAATCAATAATACAAGTCAATTATGTTGAATCCATCCACTGCTATTCAAAGGAAACTCTATAACAGGGAACAACACCCCCCCCCCCTCCCCCCAGGGAAGTCAGATCACAACCTCGTTCACCTACAGCCACTACACCCCCCTGGTCCAAAAGCAGCCTACAACAGCTCGCTCCATCAGGAGATGGTCCCCTGAGATGGAGAGTGCTCTGAGAGACTGTTATAACACCACGGACTGGGATGCACTGTTCAGCCCGCATGGAGAGGACATAGAGGGGCTGATACACTGCCTGACGGATTATCTGAACTTCTGCGCAGATGTGGTATCCCCTGCTAAGACTGTCCGCTGTTACCCTAATAACAAGCCATGGGTAACGCGGGAAGTCAAAACTGTCCTCAACAAGAAGAAGGCTGGCTTCAGGAGAGGAGACAGGGAGGTCATGAAGGCAGCACAGCAGGAGGTGAAGCAGTGTGTGAGGGAAGCAAAAGACAGCTACAGGAGAAAGGCGAAGCAGAAGCTGAGAGAGAACAACATGACGGAGGTCTGGGAAGGTGTGAGGACCATCACTGGCCTCAACACAAAGACCAGAGTCGTTGAGGGAACAATGGAGAGGGCAACGAACTGAACAACTTCTTCAACAGGTTCAACCAGCCCGTGCCCCTCCAACCCCCTCTCTCACTGCAGCCACCTCTGCTCCTTACCACACACCTCCCCCCAGACAACACAACACTGACAACCCCCCCACACACCTCAGCACAACCTCCACCCCACATCACCACAGACCAGGTCAGAGAACAGCTGAGGAAGCTCAAGCCCAGGAAAGCAGCAGGGCCGGACCAGGTGTGTCCAAGGCTGCTGAAGACCTGCACTGCTGAACTGGGAGAGCCACTACAGCGGATCTTCAACCTCAGCCTGCAGCTAAGGGAAGTGCCCACCCTCTGGAAGACATCCTGCATCGTCCCAGTGCCCAAGAAGAACAGGCCCAGCGAGCTGAATGACTTTCGGCCCGTGGCACTCACTTCACACCTGATGAAGACGTTGGAGCAGCTCTTCCTCGGACTCCTCAGACCTCAGGTGGAACATACTCAGGACCTCCTACAATTCGCCTACCAGGCAGATGTTGGTGTGGAGGATACCATCCTCTACCTGCTGCACCGGGCCCACTGCCACCTGGATAAGGGCAGTGGCACAGTGAGGATCCTTTTCTTGGACTTCTCCAGTGCCTTTAAAACAATCCAGCCCCGTCTGCTCCAGGACAAACTACACAGCATGGGAGTGGACCAGCACCTGGTCACCTGGATCCATAGTTACCTCACCAACAGGCCGCAGTATGTCAGGCTAAAGGACACCGTGTCTGACACTGTGGTCAGCAGCACAGGAGCCCCCCAGGGCACAGTGCTGGCCCCTCTTCTCTTCACCCTGTACTCCTCTGACTTCCACTACAACTCGGAGCTGTGTCACATACAGAAGTATGCTGATGACACAGCCATAGTCGGATGTATCAGGGACGACAGAGAGGAGGAATATCGCTGTCTGGTGAGGGACTTTGCTCTCTGGTGCCACAAAAACCATCTGCACCGCTAAGACGAAGGAGCTGGTTATAGACTTTGGGAGGTCCAGACCAAAGCCGAGACCAGTCGTACTAGAGGGAACTGAGGTCGAGGCCATGGACTCCTACAAGTACCTCGGGCTGTGTTTGGACATTAAACTAGATTGGTCAAAACACACCAGCCACCTGTACGGGAAGGTGCAGAGCAGGATGTACTTCCTGAGGAGACTGCGGTCCTTTAACATCTGCAGCAAACTGCTGTGGATGTTCTACCAGTCAGTGATTGCCAGTGTCTTCTTCTACACCGCGGTGTGCTGGGGAGGCAGCACATCCAAGAAGGACACGTCCAAACTGGACAAACTGATCAGGCGTGCCGGCTCTGTGGTCGGCATGAAGCTGGACTCTCTGTTGACGATGGCAGAGGCGAGGACACTGAACAAACTGCTGGACATCATGGACATCAGCAGTGTTCTTGACCGGCTGCAGCCGGGATTTGATATATATTTTTTGACATTAGTCCTAAAAACCTGGTAATGTTCTTCAGGTGATAGGAAGCCAACTTTGTAATTGTCTCTATGTGTCTCTAAAGGTTCAGGTCGGAGCCCATCACTACACCCAGATTTCGGGGCCTGATCACTAGTTTTTTTAGTTGTAATAATTGTGTTTTCACTTTGCTTTAGCCTAAGGATGTCCTACATAAAGGAGTTCCCCCCAGTGTATCATAGGCCTCGCAGCAGGACATGCTTTACTAGCACTGCCCGGCCTTCTCCACGCTGGGCGAAGTGTTGCTTGTTTTTGATTTTAGCTCAATAATTACAAAAAAAGCGTAACTTTCTTTTTTTTTAATGCCGGACTGCAGTCGTCTCCGTTGCTCTGAGCGTTTCACTTGTGGAGTGGATTTATTCATAAAAGATAGGTTTATAGCTGATGAATTTAAAGCTGGGAGAGCTGACCAATCACACCACTAGCTTTGTACGATGCCACTACTTGATCGCTGAAGTTTACTTTATGGCAGATTGGACGCGCCTCCTTTCACTCAAACTGGACACAGGCTGACCTGCACCAACCCCTGGGAGGAATTATGTTTTATTGGAGAACTTTATATGAAGGTAGGAGTTTAAAGCTCAAGGCAGGAATAACTTGTAGTGGGGCTTTCAGAAGTGCGTTGAAAGCTCTCCTCTGAAAGCGGTGAGAATGATTTTTCTTTGTGGGTGATGGTAATCACATCAACAAACATATTCATACATAAAAACAGTTACAACATCTTTTGAAAACACATGGCACATGGTAATACAAGATATATTGAGTGGGAGATGCATCCCACCTGAGAGTGTGTCTAACAAACACCTAAATCTAAACATTTGTATTTAGGTCTACAGATATTCTCCATAAGAATGTTCAATACACTCCAGCCTCATGACACGAGGAAGTCTGGAGTCAAACACCCAGTGGCCCCAAAACACGAAGCCCCAGTAGTGCCCCAATAGTGAGTCTCTCATCTCCAACAACAACGAATCCCTTCATAATCTCTAATTCTCCCTCCTTCTCTGGTGCTGAATCTGCTCCAGTGGTTGAAGTTTGTGTGGTTAACATATCAGCCCGGTTGACAAATGTTTTGTGTCTACTTTGGCGTCCTTTAGTGTTTGCTCTCACAGTTCTTCTGGACCCGCTCCACCACGTATCCCCCCTGATCTACTGAAGTGACAAAATTTATATCCTCAAATGAGAATGGAGGGGTGGGTCAAGGAGGACTGAGAGATTTCAGCCCAATGTCCTTCAAGAAAATCAACCAGTGTTGAACATGTGTAGGTCAATACTGACACTGTCCATGTCTGGACATATTTCTGAATATCAACAGAAAAGCACATCATGTGGAGTTATTTGATCTAAATCATCTTTGAAGAATGACACTAACATTAAAATTAAACAGTGACTTCCTCTTTCATGTTGACAGACTCCACTTGTTAATCAGTAACGAGGTTGTATTTCAAAATAATAGTTGTGAAATTTGGCTAAATTATTTGATGTATTCTTCAAAATAATCTTTATTAATATAAAGTCTTTTTCTCCTGACATTTATTGCTATATAAGTTCTGTTGCTCTTGACAGCCAGTAGTTACCGTAGCAACTAGTAACAGTAGGCTCGTCCCCTTTTGCCATCTTTAACTCTGGTATGTATTAAGATCAGCTCTGTGCTTTCTTTACAGTACTATATTTTAACACGTATGTTAGACTAATTTAATATTATGCAGTGTTTAATGTTTTGTAATGATTTGTATATATTTTCGCTGTTTCATAATTAATATTTCACATTTAAGCTATCTCTGAGTTTACAACTGTTAACTGATGTCAACTGTTTATTAGGAACAATTGCTCTGTAGTTTGTTTGGGGTTATTTATTGTATTTTTATTTAATGTATAGGGCCTGGACTGATGTTAACACCAGCTGGTTCCATAAGTTTGTGTTGATTTGATTTATCGTTATGTATGTTTCCTGGCTTTTACTATATTACAGAATCATTTTAATGCTATGAAATAATCATGACATATTTTTCAAAATATTTAAATTCTGCCTTTTAATCAACTGATCTCTGATTTGATCAAGAGACAGCTTTAAAAATATTAATCTCATCATCAGCTTGTTCCAGTCAGAGAGATGAAGAAGCTCTGTCACCTGTATAACAACATCCTGATAGTCGGCATTTTACTGATTGTCTTCGGTCCTCCAGGTGAGTTTGTTTGTTTAGTCCCTTTTATTTGGAGACGTCACATAAATTACTTATAGTCTGAAATATTTGATTCTGATATGGTTGAAAGTATTCACACCTAACATGAAGCTTCATGTTAGACAGGATGATTTCGCTCCACTTTATTTTCATAATTCATCTGTTTTACAGGTGCTTTGGCTCATTGTGGTAACCTGGGAGACTACCACGCACATATACCATCTAGGATTGGAGCTATAATTGGAGCTTGCCTGGACATCCCATGTCTTTATGATTATTTTCCCGGACTTGACAGAAAATCAATCCTTTATGCAATATGGTTGAAACATATTCCGGATTATCACGACGACTCAGACAAAACAATTTTTTTTAACAGCAGTGGGACTATTAACACACTTCAAATGGAATTAACTGGAAATGTGAGAAATAGGAGATGCGACACTCGGATTGCTGAAATATTTAAACATCATGAAAACATTTACATGTTAAATATTGAGAACGACGGAAAGACAACATCATTTTGTGGAGATCCTATAAAGATAAACGTAGTAGGTAAGAGAGCTGTTTTCTATCTTTTCTATGTAACATACACTCACCAGCCACTTTATTAGGTACGCCTTGCTAGTTCTGTCTTGGGAACCCTTTTGCCTTCAGAACTGCCTTTATCCATGGTAGCATAGATTCAACAAGGTACTGGAAACATTCCTCAGAGAGTGTGGTCCATGTTGACATTGTAGCATCATGCAGTTGCTGTAGATTTGTCGGCTGCACATCTATAATGTGAATCTCCCGTTCCACCACATCTCAAAGGTGATCTATTGGACTGAGATCTGACTGTGGAGGCCATTTGAGTACCGTGCACTGATTGTTGTGTTCAGGAAACCAGTCTGACATGACTCGCGCTTTATGACATGCTGCATTATCCTGCTGGAAGTAGCCATCAGAAAATGTGTACACTGTGGTCATAAAGTTTGCTGTGTTAGCTGACAGCAGAGGCACACGGTGTGGTTTTCTTCTGCTGTATCGCAGCCGCCTCCAGGTTCGATGTGCGTTCAGATATTCTCTTCTTTAAACCTCTATTGTAACAAAGGGTTCTTTGAGTCACTGTTGCCATTCTATCAACTTGAACCAGTCTGTCCATTCTCCTCTGACCTCTGGCACCAACAACCATGCCACGTTCGATGTCACGTAAATCACCTATGTTCCCCATTCTGATATTCGCTTGGAACTGCGGCAGATCATCTTGGCTATGTCTACATGCCTACAAGCATGTGATTATTAACTGATTGGACTTTTGTGTTAATGAGCAGTTGGACAGGTGAACCTGAAAAAGTGGCCGGTGAGTCTATTTTAGCTTAGTTATGTTGTAAAATGATGAATTTGCAAATGTAACCAGATATTATCACAAATTAGAAATAAGTGTTAGGGAGATGTTTTTATCAATGCATTTTCAATTTACTAAGGTTATTTATTTAAATTAAGGTTTGCAGATTATCTTGTTTATTCCCAGAACAAAATTTAGGAGCCGAAGTCATTAAGCATTACAATTTAGAGAATTGTTAATATTGAGTACAGTCTCAGCCAACTGTAATTTACACTATGTCAGCATTGTATTCTTTGACACCCTGGGTGAATCACCTTTCCGGGGAGATCATCCACTACATTCACATAAACACATTAGTCATCCCCAGCACAAAGCTTGGCACCATAATACACTCTCTCTTCTCTGCTGATTCCCTAATATTTACTGAAAGGAGCCGTTCCCATATACTTTTTTTATTTACCTTTACTAAAGTTCATCATTGACAATTTACAACAACGTCACCTAATCATTCGAGGCGCCATGACGGTCGTTTGAAGTGAACTTGTTTTCCCAAGTTGCTTTTTCCAGTTTATTCATGGCTTCTTCTTGTTCCAGTCAAGCTAATTTGACTGTAATCGTAACACATCTTCCTCCTTGTACTGGAGCAGCCTTAAAAACGAACAAAAGAGTTTTTAACCACACATGTTAGGCTACAGGACTGTGCAGCACTGTCTCCATGGTTACTGACGGTTAAACGCGTACCTTCTCCATAATGCGATTTTTGACATATTTCTAATCATACTTACTTATAAAGAGTATGAACGTTAGTCTTCTTACCTTGTAAAAAGTGTTCACTGCAAATCCACAGTTACACTGAGGGATGACAGTCATTATGATTGACGGCTGCTGTCCAGCACCGCCGTATCTTTCCTCACTACAAGTTATAAGATAAAGCGGCAAGTTTGCTTTGCTTCCTTGCCTGTTTGTGCAGCCGACCACACAGCATCCTGTGACCATTTTTAAAGTGAAATCAACCAAATAGAAGGATATAAGGTTATAGATGTATATTTTCATCTGGCTTTAAAGGAGCACATTGGTTGTTTTGACTTCTGCCATGGCGGAGTTTGCATCTGTCTGTCTCAAGTAAAGGGTCAATAAAGGAAATGTTTCATGGAATTAAAAGCTTGTTGATGAGTAAAATGGTGTTGTAGTTGTAGGTATAATGTCCAAGTAATCAATACTGTATTTTGTGTTGTGTTTCACTTTATGACATGTCTGGTTTGAAACCACAGAAACTCCTTGGGCTCCCACCATTGCATATCGAAAAAATCTGAGGGAGCGTCAGGTTGTCACTGTAAACTGCTCAGCTACTACTCCCTGTTCAGGCACACCTCCTGAACTCACCTGGAATCTGAATAATGACTCTATCAGACAATATGTGAGAGCCTATTATGGAAACATTATAACCAGAATCCAGTATACCATCGATCTGACACACAAGCATGATGGATTTAATATCAGCTGTTCTGCTAAATATCCTGTGAAAGGAGGATTCAAACAGTCACCAGAGTCAATAAAGACTCTCAGTGTTTCATGTAAGTGAGCATATTAGCACAGTATGATTCATGTTTATTCCATTTACTTGATCAATTTACAATAAAACAGGTTGTGATATTTGAAAAATTGTGAGTTCAATGCCTTTGTTTCCATGCAAATATTCTTTGTCTAAGTGGAAAGCATATAATTTTGGGTTATTAAAAGAAATATTACAGGCCAATTAATGATATTCATTCCATCTATACTAAATGTTTAGAATGTTTCAGGTAATTAAATACATAACTTAAACATCTTTTGGAGATTGTGAGTAACAGCTTTTCCTATGTTTTAAGATAATCTGTAGGAAAAACAAGTTCTAAAATATTTCAGGTTTTAAAGCACTGCAGCAGCCTTAACATCTACCTTACATGATATTGATGTTGATTAAAAACTCTTTGAATATTCTTTCAAATAATTTTTTTTGTAAAATACCCATATAAAGTAAATATGTGTCTCATTTTCCTCAGATTCTCCTAAAGACACCAAGGGAGAAATCAAGCCGAATTCTGTGGTGTCAGTCGGTTCCGTAGTGGAGCTGTTCTGCCGAACCAAAGCCAAACCTCGACCCAGATTCATCTGGATGAAGGCCGGCAAATATGCACCCACTACAGTATCTAGAAAACAGGCCTACAGATTCATTGCTACTCCTAATGAAGACGGAGAGTATTACTGTGAGGTCAAAAATCCTGTTGGTCATCAGAGATCGAAACTCATCAGACTTATCGTTGCCTGTAATTCTTTTTTTTTTTTTTTTTAATAAGATCATTTTATTTCTTATATATATATACATGACCTGGTCAAAATAGAGTGTCTATCTTGATTTAACTAAAGAAATAGGTATAGCCCTCCAATTGGATAATCATTCTTCGTCAGTTAAATATTGATATTGATTAAAAGCTCTTTGAATGTTCTTTCAAATAAAATTTGTAGTAACATTACAAATATAATGTAAATATGTCATCTGACTTTCCTCAGCTGCTCCTAGGAATACCACGGCATCAATAACTCCAAGAGGTTTGCTGCCAGTAGGTACCTTGGTTGACCTAACTTGCACCACCATAGCCGAGAGACCGTTCAACTTCACCTGGTTCAGGAGCAACAAAGATGGAACAACTGAAATAACTACCAATCAGTTTCACACCATCACTGCCAGTCCTGCTGAAGAAGGAGACTATTACTGTGTGGCCACAAATAGGCTTGGTAATGAGAGATCGAAAAGTGTCTGTGTTGACACCAGTGGTAAGCATTGCAGAAACTTATCAAAACAATGCCAATGATGAGTCTTGATGAAATCAAAGCTAAAGGTGATCCAATGAAATATTAGAGTCTGTGACCTTTTTCTTGATGGTGATTTGTTTTCGGCCAGGCAGTGTATATATTTATATGAACAAAAACATAAACGAAGCCCTTTTGTTTTTGCTCCCATTTGTTTATGAGCTGAACTCAAAGATCTAAAATAATTTCTCTGTAACCGAATATATTGTTCACTAGTCTGCCTAAATCTGTGACAGTGAGGACTGTTCCTGTCAAAAAGTTTATTCAACCCATCTCTCAAGCACATCAACATACTGGTGATGATGACTACACAGGTGTGCCTGGTAAAAGACCAGTTTGAAATGTGCTGTTTGCTTAATTGGTGGGTCTGAAAACCAGACCAACCAGATGTGTCCAACACATCTCCTTCACATGGAGTTGATCTGCTTGTTCATAGTAGCCTGTAAAATGTGGAACATTTACTGGCCGTTCAAAGTTGATGAATATTTTCAGGAACTGGAACGGCATGGGATTGTTCGGGATGCTCTGGATGCGCTGATCCAGAGCATCCCAACCATGTTCAATGGGTGACATGTTTGTTTAGTAATCTGGCCATGCACAAACTGGGATGTTTTCAGCTTACAGGAATTGTGTACAGATGCTTGCAAATTGGGACGGTTCACCAGGATGCTGTGACATGAGGCGCTGTTCGTGGATAAATGCCACAACAATGTGTCTCAGGTTTGCTTCACGATTTCTCTGTGCATTCAAAATGCCATTGATAAAATGTGTTCTATGTCCTCCACATATTTCAGCCCATACCACAAACCCACTTCCACCATCGGTCAAT